TTTGAATCTTACGCGGGAGAGAACCCGAATAACCAAAGATCCACATATATATATATATATATATATTTTCTTTTTAAGAATATAGTGTCTATTTTAAGAATGTACCAAGCAGAATTCGATTGGAAGTTATGTATTATATTGAATGCTATAATCTTAAAGCTATACATTGAAGCTTAACTAAGAGCTTGAATGGATAAAATTAAAGGATATAAAGGTGTCATATTCTAATTGGTAACTACAGGGAAAAATTTGTTTAGTAAGAAAAGATAATGTGAAATTGTAACAGGACATATTTATACAAAAGTATAAATATAATGATTTGAATTGAGATAATCAAAACAAAGTTGAGAAAATTAGAAGAGGGGAAAAACTATGTAGAAAATATAAAATGGTAATAAGATATGGAATAGAATATAAAAATGAGCATGAAATTGAGTTTTGTGTCTGTATGAAGAAGTGATAACCTGGGACCATGCTATTTTCAAAAAAAGATGTTTTATTTGTACTTTGTTTTTGTGAAAACCCAAATAAAATTTTCAAAAAAAAAAAGAATTCATAATGCACATCTCTAACATCATCAGTTATTAAGTTTAATAGACTGTCTTGAAGTGGTTATAATTGTAATTAGATTTTACATGTGACTTACCACCAATTTCTATACTATATCATTGGTTAGATCAGATTGCTATTAAATACAAGTATCCTCAACTTATGACCACAACTGAGCCCAAAATTTATGTTGCTAAGTGAGACATTTGTTAAGTGAATTTTGTCCATTTTACAACCTTTCTTGCCACTTAAGTGGCAAGAACCACTATAGTGGTTAAGTGAACCACTATAGTTGTAAGTTAGAGTAGTTACCTGAATCTAGCTTCACGACTGACTTTGCTTGTTAGAAGGTTGCAAAAGGTGATTGCATGAACCTGGAACTTTGCAAGCATCATAAAAATGAACCAGTTGCCAAGTGTTTGAATTTTGATCATGTGACCATGGGGCTATAAGTGTGAAAAACAGTTATAAATCACTTTTTTCAGTGCCATTGTAACTTTGAACAGTCATTAAAAGAACTGTTGTAAGCCGTGGACTGCCTGTATATGATAAAATTATTGGTATATTACTTCCATCAAGGCTTATATTATTTTATGAGTTAAAATTAATAAAGCAATGACATGACTGGTGCAGAAGTTTTGTTTTCTCATATAATTCTCCAGAAATTCATACATGTTAAATTTCACGCACATAATTTAATATGAGTCACATGTAAGTGATTCAGAGATTTTTATTTGAGAACAGCATTCTTTTTTTATATTTGATCCTGCACTGTTGAATTGGAGAAAATTTTGGCATTAAATGTGTATTAACTTTCATTCAACCTTGTTTTACTTGCTTTCCTAGTTGGTTATACAATGAATGACCTTGTATTTGAATGGCAAGAAAACGGTGCTGTACAAGTAGCTGAAGGACTCACTTTGCCACAGTTTTTGTTGAGAGAAGATAAAGATCTTTGTTACTGCACAAAACACTACAATACAGGTGGGAAAAATAGTCAGTGTTTTGACAATTGAAAGAACATTGTAACTCTTTATTGTCCGAGATATATTCAAATGTGTAGTTAATCACAGAGTAGTAATGGTTCTTGGGCCAAGGAATATTTATATGTAGGAGAAGAGTTTCATAACACACATCATACCTTCAACATGGAATGGCAATTGAATAGGCAATAACATCAGCCACTAGATATTAGCAAATAAACAATCCTGTACAGTGAAAGAAGTAAAGTCAAGGTATTTTTTTTCTGTGAAAATTTTAGAATTTAGAGAATTTGCTGGAGTGTAGACAAAATTAGGAAAAACATTGTAGGCTGGGTACCTGAGAATCCTGTTTTATAGCATTTTGAAGGGTTTTGTCCTCAGTTTCAAATATATGATTCTTTTTATTAGACTAATTTTAATTTGCTACCTCCAGATTCAGGACTATAAAGGAGAATATAAATATTGTTATTGTTATTGATATTAAAAAACTGGAGATTGCTGATTTAGGGGAGGAAAAGCTTCCTATGTTATTATGGTAAAGTAAAGATTCTGCTGCTGCTCCCCTATCTTTTTTTTTGGCTTATTTTTCACATACAAATGTTTTACATCTGGAATGCTGCTAGATATTTATCAAAACGGGAAATCAAGCATCTTTATGACCACTGGGAACAGCTGTGCTTCTGCCACTGTTGATTAAAGAAAATGATCATAGTGTAATAAGTAGGAATAGTACCATGTTGATTACCTCCGGTTTTCAAAGAAACAATTATTGTTGTATTTTGCAAGTATTTTTGCATTTCTTCTGTTTGTTACTAGCATCAGCCCTACAAAGAAGCAGAGTAAAGTGAGTTTTAGACAATCAATTATTATTATTAACATTATTACTGAAGTAACTCCATCATTAATTATCTATTTAGGAGGTTATAATAAATCTCTTTAAATGAATTCTATTTGCTTTAAAATTATTTAAATGGGTACTTTCTATAGATTATACTATAAAACTTTTGTTTCTGCAACATTTAACTGAACAAAGTGGGACTTTTTTTTGAACCAAAGTACCTCAAATCAGTTAACTTACATATTATGTCCAAAATTCAGAACTTACAATTCCCATGAAATTGAAATTCAGCTGATTTTATAAAACATTTTATGACATTGAAATTGTCATAAAACAGTTTCTGATACAATACAAAATGTTCAAATGGGTTATTTTCAATGAAGGTACTGTCAATTTTTTCAAGGAAATTCGGTCATTGTTAAAGAAATTGAGGAATCTGATAAAGAAATATTTCTGAAAAGATAACCCAGTGGGTCATGGGTTCCTTAGAGTAAAATTAAATTTGGATTCATCCTGGAAATCCTTATGGGATTTTCTGCCTCGTATGCCTAACCTTGGGCACTGGGTAGAATTCAGCTGTACTCAAGTTGACCATTATAAGCATGCAATTTGTTTGTACTATTCCAGGCAAGATTGGTTTAATCACATTGGCTGGAATTCACAAGCAGATGATTAAATGCTATTACTTCCAGGAAGTTGAATGAGAACTATAGGTGTTGTAGAGTACAGATACAATAAACAAATGAACAAGTATATGAACAATTAGTGAGGGATGCTGTAACACATTACAAGCAACAAGTAATGGACATTATTCTGTCATTGCACCAAGGACAGCTGATAATGGAATATAACTGGTACCTCTAACAGTTGTTCTCTGTTATAAACAGGAAAGTTTACCTGCATTGAAGTTCGATTCCATCTTGAAAGGCAGATGGGATATTATCTCATTCAAATGTATATTCCCAGTCTCCTGATTGTCATACTATCATGGGTGTCATTTTGGATCAACATGGATGCCGCTCCAGCTAGAGTAGCTCTAGGTATAACAACTGTACTCACTATGACAACCCAGAGTTCAGGATCACGGGCTTCACTCCCAAAGGTGAGCCCTTTTGAAGGTTTTGATTGATTATAGAGAATGGTCTCTCATACATACAGTAGCTCTTCTTCTTATATTGTAAATATCAAAGTTAATTGGATATAGAAATATACCGTATTTGCCGGTGTATAAGACGACTGGGCGTATAAGACGAGCCCCCAACATTTCCACTCAAAATATAGTTTTTGTTATATACTCGCAGTATAAGACGACCCCCCCACTTGGAGGCATGCTTTTCAAGGCAAAAAAGTCATCTCATACGCCGGCAAATACGGTAAGTTGTAACACTTGGGGTATTCTGGATATAATTCTTGATTGACACCCCCAACCCCTTTCCCCCAAACTTACAAAGCCACCAAAATGCTTTAGAGAGGCAGCTTCGCCTTTCTCAGGCTGGCACTCAATTCCTCTCCCTTTCTTTGTGACAGCCCCCGCGTGCGTGCCATCGGGACTCCAAGGGTGGGGGATGGACAGCTGCCAACTCTCTCTCTCTCTCTCTCTCTCTCTCTCTCTCTCTCTGTGTGTGTGTGTGTGTGTGTGGTGTGGAGGGTAATTCCGGCTATCTCTGGCCTCCGCTCGGTTTTAAAGTCGCTTGGCCGGTTCCCAAGTCGCAAGCGCGCGCTGGCCGGGAGACGCGGCGCCGGGTGGAAGCCCGGTGCAGGGGAGGCAGATCTTTCTCTCTTAAGCGGGGAGGGGAGGAGGGGACAAGAGAAGGGACGGGACGGGACAGGGGGCGGGAGGAGGGCGCTCGCCTTCTTCCACCGCCCACCGGACCCTTTTCTTCCCAAGGGGACCCTGGAAAGCAGCTCGGGAGCCGGGTGGCCCTGCCCAGCGGGGTCCCATCAGGAACTTCCTGAGGACACACACCCCCCCGCCCCAAGCACAGCCCTCCCGGTCTTTCAAAGAGGGAGGGAGAAGCGGGAGG